AGCTTGCAGCGCAGATAGGGGAGACAGCATGGACATACGGAGATATATTCACAATTGACACAAAATATATGCTTGTTGCTGCTTGTCCTTCATTTAGGAAGAGTACCATGACATCATGGAGGTGATGCCATGACATGCAAGTGAATTGGATTCAAGTGAGGGAGGGCCATGCAGAGTTACCAGCCCCAATACACAGCAGGATGACTAGAGATGGCCCTAGAAATGGTGGAAGCCCTTGGCCTTTTAAAGCTCAGGTCTCTGGCAGGTCTGAGTTTGACTGAGCCAATGCCTATTCAGTGATTAAGGCTAGGTTAAAAAATTAGGCAAAGAAAGACCTCTTTAACCTAGTCCAGAAAAAAAAATAAACTGGGAGGGGAAGACCCTCAGGGTTCCTGGCCAAAATAGAAACAATCCCTATTTACATTCACTCTGAGTCAATCAGAGCCCAAACAATGACCAAGTGTTTTGGTCTATTGTTGGCCAATCAGTGACAGCCAGAGTGATTTGGGTTTAAGGCATGGTCCCTAAGAAAGACATCCAGCTTGTGACGTCTTGCTACCTTTCTGAAGGGAAAGAAGGAAGGAAAGAAAGGAAGGAAGGAAGGAAGGAAGGAAGGAAGGAAGGAAGAAAGAAAGAAAGAAAAAGAAAGAAAGAAGAAGAAAGAAAGAAAGAAAGAAAGAAAGAAAGAAAGAAAGAAAGAAAGAAAGAAAGAAAGGAAGAAAGGAAGGAAGGAAGGAAGGAAGGAAGAAAGGAAGAAAGAAAGAAAGAAAGAAAGAAAGAAAGAAAGAAAGAAAGAAAGAAAGAAAGAACATTCGTTTCTTAAACACAGATTAGATAAAATAAGAACAAAGACTGAAGAGTTACTTACATCTGAAGAAAAATCCTAAAGTACCTGAACAAGTTAAAAATCTCCACATACCACCACAAATTGCAAAGATGTTTTCTAATAGTAAAATGTGTGGCAAAACAACCCTGATATCTTGAATTTTTTTTTAAGGAGATGGATATACTGCGAATGGAATTTCAAAAAGTGCCTTTTGAATTAGATGGCACAAATTCAACTAATGAAACTGTACTAAAATAATAATTTTAGTGGTAGCTGCTTTAAGCATCATGAGTGAAAGCATTCTCCCACAGTATTTGACAGATAACATAAAAGCATTTCATGATATACAAATACCAGTATATCTGATAACTATGCCACAGGAATGACTATAAGATGTACAATGCCAAATTTTCAAAATAGTGGGAACAGGATGAAAGACATATCATCTCCTTGTCTGCTATTTGAATTGTTCTGAAGGTATTGTCATTGTTGGTCCTTCATTTTTTAAGAGAACTGATGACATCACAGGGTAGTCTTGACTTGCACATGAATTGGATTGAAGTGAGGCAGAGTTGCATAAAGTCCTCAACCTCACTTCTCTTCCAGAGTCATTGAAGTCCAGTGGCAAGATAAAAGCCTAGACACCTGGGGATGGCCCAGGATGCAGTGGATGGCCTTGGCATCTTCAATGTCTGACCAAGCTCTAAGTGCTCCACAGTGCCTGCTTAAGCTGCCTTTATGGCTGTTGGAACAAATTGTTCTTACCCACCCATTCTGTTGGGGAAATCTTCATATGCTTGGGGTAAACATCTGCTTAAGTCACTAATGATTTTGAAGCCTGTTGTTTACCCTCAACCTGATTTAGCCTGTCTACCAAGAATGTTCTGCTTGGGTATGGCTGCTACGCATGCTACAGCTTCTTAGAGCTAACATGTGAGAGCTAGGTGGCAGAAAAGAAGCATATACCCTGACTCTTACTTGATTCTGAAAAGCAGTCTTTTTTTAAAAAATAGTCTGCAGAATATCTATTTAATGTATTTTATGTATATATATATCGTATATATATATAAACTAAATATATTTAATGAATTGTGATATGTTCATGTCATATATAATATAAAAGTCACATGATGACATCTTGTCTTTAGACTTTCTATCTGACTCCCATTAAAAAGAAAAAAAAAACAATTGAAAACAAGATAACAATAATAAGAACAAAATAGATATTTATGTTTGCAGGTGACAGAGGACTTTATATACATCATCTATATTTATCTCTATTTTCTATATGTGTATATGTATATATGGGTCTTTTTTCTTATTTATTCTTTTTTAGCCTTTATAGCCTCTTGGAATTAAAGTTTCTAAGGCACATATCTTTGAGTTCTTACTTCTAAATACTTTCCCCAAATAGAAGGGAAGCTCCTTGAGGATAGGTGCACACTTCATTTTTTTCTTTTTGCCCCCAGTTGCTGGGATATATGAGCCCCTCAATCCAAGATTATTAATTGATAGGTTTTATTTGATATTTTAAAACCCCTATAAGGTAGGTAAGACAGCTATTATTATCTTCATGTTATTGATAAGGAAACTGAGGCTCAGAGAGGTCAATTGACTTCCTTAGTTGTCACATAGCTAGTAAATGTCAGGGACAGAATTCAAACCCAGGTCTCACAGATAATGAGTGACCACTGGTCAGAGATGTTAGAGAGGGGATTCATTCTTCACATACAAGCCAGACAAGATGACTTAAATGTCTTCCAAATATAAGATTCCATAATTCCATTTATCTCACTGCCCCTTGATGGTAGGGCTCCAGGGAAGTCTTAGCTCCAAATCACTTACTGATAAACTTGATAAACTTCCTTAACAAATCTCAAACCAACTGAGATCATTGAGAAATACCACCAATATGATGGATTTACACATTCGATGTGATCATGATGAGAAAAAGGAAATTCAGTACAGTTTGTTCATGAAACTTCAGGCTTTCTTATATCTTGATAATTTTAACTTTTCCAAATGGCTAGCTCAGAATCACAGAATCTCAGAATTGGAAGGGACCCCAGTTTGCACTAGACCAAATATCCATTACACAAGGCCATGAAGGAAAAATAAGTCACTTCATCTTATTTCCCTCTTTTGTGAGGTTTTTCTGGACTACTCCAGTGTGAAGTGATCTTTCTGAACTCCATCAGCTCTCTGTTTAGAAGACACAGTATCAAAACAATAGCATTTCTTCTCATTCAACTCTATTTATCTTCTACATTTCTTTAATTCTTATATTCCTCTTGGAATTAAAGCTTCTAATCATTTCAGATTTTTTTATGCATCCATATCTTTATCAGCTCTTTTTGTTGACTGGTGTTTTTATTTGTCTGGTCATTATAGAATGTTAGAGTTGGGAGAGACCTTAGAGATAATCTCGTATAAAACCCCTTCATTTAACATGTGAAGACACTGACTTCCAGAGGAGTTCACAAAGTCAGGAAGCAGGTCCAGGATTCAAACTCAGGTTTTCTGACTCCAAATCTCTCACTCTTTGAACTACAATGACAAAGTCATTGTAAAACATTTAGTCATTCCTTGACTGTTTGCTATTGACATATGGAAATGTGCTAATTTATGCTCTTGATTTTCCCACCTTCCAACTCCAGGTATGCTTTTTTTAAAAAATTGATTAAATGGTAAGGTTCGGCACCAGAGACTAATCAATCTTAGCAATTGCCTTTCGGTTCCCAACAACAGTAATTATCTTTGAATTATCTCCTCTTATTTGGGAGCTGCTGACAGATAAGTGGAAAAATAACTCCAATATATCATCAGATTGTTACCCCCATGAAATTGCATTCCCCTAAGTGTGCAATTGTACTGAAGTTGATAGAGTCAGGTAAGAATCTCCTCGCTTAAGAAGAGAAAATAAGGAAGGCTTCCATTGAAAAAGAAATGGCTACACAAACTGTGATACAGAAACATAATGGAATATAACTGTCCCAAAAGAAATAATGAATATGAAAAATTCAGAGAAGCATGAAAAGAATTAGATAATCTGATATACAAAGTAAGTAAAATCAGGAAAATAATATAAAAAAAAGCCATTGGGCAGCTGTGGCTCAATGTATAGGATCAGGAAAACCTGATTTCAGATCCTGTATTAAACTCTTATTAGCTTATGTGACCTGAGCCTGTCAGGTATCCGTTTTGAGGCTCAGCGTCCTCATCTATAAAATGAGGGGTTTGGACTTAATGGTCTCTCAGGTCCTTTCCAGTTCTAAACCTATGATCCTGTGACTATGACGGTATAAATGGGAAATATGATTAAACACATACACACAGAGCTCTATATTTATGATCAAACTTGGCCTCAGAGAAGAGATGAGATAATATATACCCTTTTCCTCATCAGAGAGATGAGGAACTGTGTTTTAATATGCTATCAGACACAAGGTGCTGCTCAGCTTTGAGGAACTTTCTCTTTAAAAAAAAAATTTTAACAGGAAATATTGACTGGGTAGGGGAAAAGGGGCAGCCAGCTGGTACAGTGGATAGAGCACTAGGCCTAGAGTTAGGAAGACCCATTTTCTTGAGTTCAAGTCTGGCCTCAGACACTTATTAATTGTATGACTCCAGGTAAATCATTTAATCCTTTTTGCCTCAGTTTCCTCATCTGTAAAATGAGCTGGAGAAGAAAATGATAAACCACTCCAGTATCTTTGCCAAGAAAATCCCAAATGGGGTCACAAATAGTCAGACATGAATAAAAAATAATTGAACAACAGTAACAACTTGTCATGAAGTTTTTCCTTATATAAAGCCTAAATTTTAATCTTTGCAACTTCTAATCCTTACTCCCTAATTATTCACTCTGAGGCCAAGCAGAACAAATTTAATGGTTCTCCAGTGTTTCATCCTTTCAAATACTTAATGACCGCTTTCATGCCCCACCTCCAGTCCCAGCTTCTTCCAATAGCATTCCTATTGTATTATCTCAATGCTCTCTACTTCTGCTGAATTATTCTACTTGCCTACAGACAAGGCAGTTATAAGAAAAATCAGCCTAGTTTGTTGAGGCGGTAGACTTCCATGTATAGTGTCTAGGCTATTCTTCCTTACATACAAGTTCCTTTGAGGAAGCTGGGACTTATGGACTACACCATGTCTGCCACACACATACCTGAGTATACAGATCACATCTACCTTTGGTGCAGTAACAGTAAAAACCCTGCTCTGGGATCCTCTCTCATGCTCCCATCTGGCCAATGTCTCTCGCCTAGGGATAGAGAGAAATTCAGTCTTCAGATATAGTCTAACCCAAGCCGCACTTTCCTCTCAATTAGGAAGGTTTAGTTCTTTACCACTTTCTCTTCTTCCCCGTGATCTTCTGTGAATGTTCTCTTGGATCTCATGTTCTCTAGGGAGGAGAAAATGACATTATGTACGTGAAGTTCTATGCAAACCTTAAAGCACTCTGTAATTATTAGCTGCCATTATTACTTGAAGCACAATGATTCAATGGCTCTGGGGAAACGTGGGTGAAGTTTTATAAGCATCATCAAGCCCCTTTGGGTCTTCCTAGGCTTCACTTGGGGCACAAGGTGAAGGGAAGGGTTGAAAAGAATCATTAAAGTTTGCTAAATAGAGTTCTAAGGATGATTTACAGGGACCAAATCTGGCAAGAAGGGCTATGATAGGAGTTAAAAAGAATTGTTCTGGCTACAACCCAAATAAAAGTTTAAACTGATAAAGTCGGAGCAACAAGAAAGAAATTCAGTTCAAAAGACAGATTTAAGTACCTGAGGGCTTTTCTAGGAGCTAGCAGCCTGGGATCTGGAATCACAAATCAGTTGAAAGAGCCCTGGGGTTATCAACTAAAAGAACTGAGTTTTAAGCAGCTATACATTTGGTTAAATAGATACACCAGCAGATGGCAAGAGAGAACAGCTCAGGAGAGCCATCGGGAAAGCAGAGTAATGGCAGACAGCAGTAGAAGACTCCAGCTCAGAAGAAGGTAACTCCCCGGGCTCTGACATCACAAAAGGACACCAGCGACTCTGAGGAAGCAGGGTCGGAGGGAGGAGAAGAGATCCACTACTGCCAGAGGAGCTTGAGATGTCTTGACTATAATCTGTCTCCTTCCTGTGAATTCTCCAGCTACCCATGTTTACTGGAAACAGATGTTTCATGCATATCCTTTATCCCGCTGGTACCATTTTAATCTATGGGACAGCATATCTCTATGTGTGTATGTAGGGGTAGGGGGGTGGGAGGGGAGATGATTTTTCTTATCACCTATCTCACTATACTTAAAGGCTGTGATTCAACTTGTCACTGAAGAAAAAAGAACATCCCTCCTTCCCTTCCTTGAAGAAATGGGAGACTGAGTGTAGAACAATGCATATACTGTCAGGTTCCTTTGATGTGTTGATTAGTTTTGCTGAACTGCTTTTAAAAAAAATTAAAGAATTAAAATTTTTTTATATTAAAAATAAAGAAATTTTAAAAATTCCTTGTTACTATGGATGGCTTTCTAGGGAGGTCAAGATGACATAAAAATAACAATAAAATTAAAATTTTTGAATAGAACTAGATGGGCAAAATATTTACATATCTACATGTATGCACATGCATATGCATACACATAAACATACACATCCATGCATATAGACATGGATGAATAACAAACAGATTAAGATAATTGCCAAATGGGTCATACAAAAAGTTACAGAAAAGTATGCTACTACTTCACCTGGTGATCTCATCAGTTCTCATGGATTTATTTAAGTACATTCCTATGCTTTGATTCCCAAGTCTATCTATCTTGCCTCAATCTCTCTGCTATCCTTCAATCTTGCATCTCCAGCTGCCTCTTAGGCATCTTGAACTGGATGTCCAATAGACAATTCAAATTGAATATGTCCAAAACAGAATTCACTGTCTTTTCCTCTAAACCCTGCTGCTCCCTTACCTTCCCTAATGTGAAAGAGGAGAACACCATCCTACCAGACCCCTAGGCTCAAAACCTAGGAGTCATCCCATATTCCTCACTATCTTTTACCCCTCACATCCAAGCTGTTGCCAAGGCCTATCCATTTCACCTTTACAACATCTCTCAAATATGCCTCATTCTCTTCTATGACACTGCCACCATTCTGTACCTGCCAGCATTACCTCACACCTTGATGACTAGCCTGCTACTGGGTCTGCCTGCCTCAAGTCTCTCCCCACTACATTCCATCGTCCATTCAGCCACTGAAGTGATTTTCCTAAAGCAAAGGTCTGATTCGTGTCATTCCCCTACTCAATGAACTCCAGTGGCTCCCTTTTACTTCCAGGAGCAAACATAAAATGCTCTGGCATCCAAAGACTTTCATGACCTAGTCCCCTCCTACCTTTTCAGTCTTCTTACACCTTACTTCCCACCACCTACCTTTTGACTCAATGATACTGGCCTCTTGGATGTTCCACAAACAAAGCACTTCATCTCTCAGCTCTGGGCACTTTCTCTAGCTGTACATTATAATGTTAGAATGCTCTCCCTCCATAATTCCAACTACTGACCTCCCTAGCTTCCTTTAAGTCTCCACTAAAAAAAACTCACCTTCTACAGAAAACCTTCCCCGACCCCTCTTAATACCAGTATGTTTCCTCTTTTAATTATGTCTCATTTATCCTGCATATAGCTCACTTTACGTTTATTAGTTTGTATGTTGTCTGCTTCGTTAGATTGCTAACTCTTTGAGGGCAGGGAGTGTCTTTTGCTTCTTTTTGTATCCCCTGTGTTTAGCATAGTACTTGGCACAGAGTAGATGCTTAATAAATGTTTACTGATTGACTGATTAATCTGAAAGCCAGAAAGAACTGATGGCAAAAAATCGAGGGAAGAAAAAAAAATAAATATATGTAATAATTTTGTTGTGTATTTGACAGTAACAGCAAGCTGTGCAGAATAGATTTGCAGTTTCGTGTACAATCATCTTTTTTCATTGTATTATGTTATGGAAATGTTTATTTTATTCCATAAATTAGAGACAAAATAAAGGAACTGATGGAAAAGACCACAATTTCACTTGGTCAGCAAGAAGAGTAGGACTCAGATAACTGGAAAGAAAGGGAGAGAGCGTTAGATGCGGAGGGAAGGAATATACGTGATTAATTCAATCATAGATTAAACACTTTCCAAGCACTCACAGCAGACAGGGGCTCTGGGTGGGTGGGTGGGGGGGAGCAAAGATGAGAAATTACAGCGTTCCCAGAGCTTGGTAGAGGCAAGTTAGGGAAAGGGAAAAGGCAAACAATGTCTAAGAGTGGAGCTGGTAGTGGCGTAGTCCGAGATGAGGCTGGAGAGCTCTAGACAGGGGCAAGTTTAGCGCGGCTTCGAATCGCAGGTTGAGGATTTGTCAGTGGGAACTTCGGAATTTTATTACTGTTTTTCCCTGGATCCCATGCTTTCCTCTTTGAACTTTTGCTGGAGAAATTGAATACCCTCGGGTCCCCGAAGTGCAGATCAGCTTGCCTTGCTCCATTTCGGTGGGCAAAGCAAGAGAGAAGCCGGAAGACCAGTCTCGATGAGTGTGAATGTGTGCGTGGCTATGTCAGTGAGCCAGGAAATAAGGATCTGCTAAGTTTATCTTTGCTGACTGAGTACTACTGTAGAACCCTGAGGAATATCTAGAAGGCAGCTCCTTAACAAATGTGCTTGGGCAAGGACCTAGAGAACAAAGTAAATGTGCCCTAGGACAAAAGTAGATAAACTTTTACACACAAGGCATTTAGCAAACCACTAAGTGCTAAAGAAATGTCAGCTATTATTATTATTGCTCTTTAATTGACCCTTGTTAGACTACCAGAAGATGGCTGAGAGGCTCTTAGTGAAAGGGAATGAATGTGCAAGTTTAGAGCCATACCAACCAAACTACCAGAGGTATACCTTAACATAAGTAGACAAAATAATAGCACCATTCATTAGGAAGAACAAAAGATCTAAAATATTAAGGGAAAAAAATTATAAAATGGAGGAATGGAGGAAGAATCACATTTGCAGACCTCAAATGGTATTACAAAAGTTATCTCTGGTACTAGTTTAAAGGTATTTCTGGTAATGTTTCAAAAATAAAAAAAAAATAGATCACTTGAGCAGACTAGATAAAAAAAGAATCAGAAATATTAGAATTCAATAAGTCAATGTTCAATAAACTTCTGAATCCCCCTAGATTACGAAGGTGGAAAAGTCCACTTTTGACAACTCTTGAGAGAACTGGAAATCAGTCTGACAGAAATTAGGTTTAAATCAGCATCTTTTAGCATCTTCCACAATAAAATCAAAATAAATACGGGACCTAAAATAAAAATAGAAGAGGAAGAGAGAATATACATTTCACAGCTGTGAAAAGGGGATGAATTTTTAACCGAACAAGAAAGAAAGGTGACTACAAAAGATAAAATGGACAGGTTTTTTTGTTACATGAAATTGAAAGGCTTTTGCAGAAACAAAATTAATGCAACTAGATAAAGAAAGAAAGTGTGGTAGAGAGGGAGAGAAATCTTTGTATCTATCAGATAACTAACTCCAAGTTTCCAGTATCTTCGCTATATAGACAATTAACAGAAATGTGTAAGATCAAAAACCATTCCTCAATAAACAAGTGGCCAAATTCCGTGAACAAACACTTCTCAAAAGAACAACTGTGAACAATTTAGTCATGAAAAATGCTCCAAATTGCTGTAATAAGAGAAATCCTAATCTAATCAAACTTGAACATGTAACTCAAACTCAAGAAATTGGCAAAGATGAAAAGAGATAAGAACAGTAGATGTTTCAGGAGTTGTGGGAGGATAGGCACATTAATGCTTTGTTAGCTGAGTCCTGAGCTGCTCAGGGTATTTTGTAAAGCAATTTGGAATTATGCATAGAAAGTGACTCAGATGTCTATATGGCCTTTGACCCAGAGATTCCACTGCTAGGTATATTCCCTAAGAAGGTTAGTGACCAAAACAAAAGTCTTATTTATACTTTTTTTTTTTTGGCTAGGCAATGGGGTTAAGTGACTTGCCCAGGGTCACACAGCTAGTAAGTGTCATGTGTCTGAGGCCAGATTTGAACTCAGGTCCTCCTGAGTCCAGGGCTGGTGCTCTATTCACCGCACCATCTAGCTGCCCCAAAGGCTTTATTTATAGAAAAATATTTATAGCAGTGCTTTTTGAGGTAGCAAAGCTCTGGAAACAACCTATCGTCGTTGAGTCATTTCAGTCATGTCAGACCTTTTACGACCCCCTTTGTATTTATTTTTTGGCAGAGATACTGGAGTGGTTTGCATTTCCTTCTCCAACTCATTTTACGTCTGAAGTACTGAGGCCAATAGTGTAAAGAGACTTGCCCAGGGCCACACAGCTAACGTCCGAGTCCCGATTTGGCCTCACGAAGATGAGTCCTCCTGATTCCAAGCCCGTGCTCTATCCACTGCGCCACCTGGCGGACCCCGGAAACAATACAGATATCCACTTACTGGAGAATTGTTAAATGAACTTTTCTGTGTGAATGTAATGGAATGTTACTGTGATATAAGAAGAAATAATGAATATCGAGAAATGTGAAAAGATAAACTGAAGTAAACTGAAGGAAGCAAAACCAGGAAGACACACACGAGGAATCTAACAATGTTAATGCAAAGAATAAGAACAGGACAGAATAATTCCAACTGATTGCTTTGAATTTATAATGACCAAGTCTGGCATCACAGAAGGGATATGGGAAGGCATCCCCCCACTTCTTTGTATAGTTGGGAGGTTCTGGGTTTGAAATTCTTTATAAAACATTAGACTTTTTTTTTGATAAGTTGCTTAGTTTTGCCAAGCATTTTTTTTCTTCCTCTTCAATATTCTTTGTTCTAAGAGATGACTCTGAAGGAGGAAGAGAGGTAGGATACACTGGGAAATGGGGGGGGGTGTGATGTAAA